AGCCAGACCATAACGAATTAGGGGGGGTTTTGAGGTCATTAGGGGTGTATAATAGAAAATCCAAAGGAATTAGGGATCCCCTTGACATCCTAGGTTTTGGTTGATTTTCATATGGTTTTATAAAGGATTCTATATACAACAACTGAATACGACTTTAAATGATTCTATTACAGTCTTAGCCGTATTTAGTTAAATCTCAATTGAATTTCATTCGATGTCAGCTGATTTTAAGAGGAAGTTTAGTTAAATGTCAATTGATTCTAACGGGATTTTAGTTCGGTTTTAATTGATTTTAACAGGATTTATAATGAAATTTCAATGGATTCTAACGTGATTTTAATTCGATTCTAATTGATTTTGAAAGGATTTTTACCTAAATCTCAATTGATTCTAACGGGATGTTAATTCGATCTGAATTGATTTTACAAGGAATTTTAAGCAAATTTCAATGGATTCTACCGTGATTTTAATTCGGTTCTAATTGATTTTGAAAGGAGTTTTACTTAAATTTCAATTGAATCTAACGGGATTTTAATTCGATGCTAATTGATTTTAAAAGGAATTTTACGTAAATTTCAATTGATTCTAACGGGATTTTGATTCGATTTTAATTGATTTTGAAAGGAATGTTAATTAACTTTCAATGGATTCTAACGGGATTTTGATTCTATTTTAATTGATTTTGAAAGGATTTTTTTAAATTTCAGTTGATTCTAACGGGATTTTGATTCGATTCTAATTGATTTTACAAGGAATTTTAAGTAAATTTCAATGGATTCTAACGTGATTTTAATTCGGTTCTAATTGATTTTAAAAGGAATTTTAATTAAATCTCAATTGACTCTAACGGGATTTTAATTCGATTCTAATTGATTTTAGAAGGATTTTAAAGGCGGCCCTACTACATCCTTCAATAAATATGCCCCCCTAATAATGATTAATTTCTGACCCCCCGGATTATTCATTATTAGGGGGGGGGTGGGGACGTCGTTTATTATTAGGGAGAAGAGATTAGATTAAGCCGCGCAACCTGACGCCGCCATGCTCCGCCATGCGGATGTCACCACGCAAAGGACTCTTGTTTTTGTTGGAGGTGGGAATTTTGAAAGTTTGGAATTGCATGTTCCATGGGGTAGGCTTGTCCAATTCTTGGGTGGCAGATGAGGCTGTGGATCAATGGTTGGTGCTGGCGCCAAGTGGGTGGGCTTGAATAGAAAATGTTCTGGGAAAATGCTTTGGAATGCAGGTCTTAGATGCTTGGTGAATGAGGCGGCAAAGTCCGCTATGTTTTTGAATCAACGATTGTTCAGTCCTGCTGGGTTAGGGCTGCTGTTCTGCGCGTTGGAGAGTTGGTTGGGCGCTGAACATTTGAACGGCTGGAGTCAAGTGGTCGGCTGAAAGGGAGGCGGTGAAAGTTAGAGAGAGTGGTGGTGGATTTTGAGGGTGTGGAGGATGAAGTGGTCAATGATGTTGGAGATGCTTGTTGTTTGTTCTTTCGGCGTGTGTATGGGACGGATATGTGCGCGGATCATCTAACATGGAAACGCGGTGTGCTAGCTAAATATGTTTTGCATAGGGCACAGAGCGCCAGCATTTGACACATCTTGGCGGCAGTACGGATGAGAGCGCGTGAGCGGATTGGGATCACCCAGGTTAGGGCATTGGCAATGTACTGAGACTGTCTGCGAGAACTCGAAGGCTTAAAGCTTGCTTGCTGGAACGTTTGTAGCCGTCTGCAAAGTGCCTTGAATGGCGGGGTTCCCCACACAGAGTTCAAACAGGCCAGAGACGCGCACAGCAGATGCTGACCTCAGGTCCGAGTTGCTTGAATTGGATGCAGCGCAAAAGAAACTGGATTCCTTGCTCGTAGCTCATAGCCAAGACTGGAAGGGATCGAAGGGAAGGGCAGCTTGCAGCGGCAGTGGGTTCGTTTTTGATTTGGATTTAGACCGCTTTTTCGCTGCGTGGCGGGCCGTGAGTGAGGATGTGGTTTGGTACAAACGACGTCGGCGTGACAAGGCTTCGAGGCTTTGGCTTCAAAGCCGTGTTCTTTGCCAATTCTTCTGGAGCTTGGTCTCAAACAGCCTGCAGCGATTTGTGGAGAAGCCCTTGCCCTTGCCCTCGAAGCTGACTCGCGGCATGCGCTGCAGGCAGAAGCAGTCACAGAGATCCGGGACCTTCCTGTCAAGCAGTGAGAAGGGCATTTGCAAAGTAGTTTTTGATGGCGAAGAAGAACCAACATTGATCCCAGCGGCTTCACTAGTCCAAGTCTGCATCGTGTCGCATCCCTTCTTGGCGGGCCTAGCATTTCTAGCATGGGCATTGGCCCATGCACAGCATGAAGACCTCAAAATGGATAGTCTGCGCACTGCCCTCATGTTCAACCAAGTGATGGGCAAGTCGGACAAGTCGAAGGTTTGCAGCCTTGCCATGCTGGCAGTGATGCAAGAGGAGGAGCTAAAAGGCTTAAGATTCACCTTCATGGCTTGGACAAAGTTGATAAAGAGCAGCTTTCTGCGCACATTCCGGGTGAAGCGTCAACGCTTTTTTTTTCGCGCGTGGCTGGAGACATTCTTCATGGACAAGCACGACTATGCTCTAGAACTGTTAGGGGCCTCCCAGGCGCAGTCAAAGCGAGAAATAGCGAGAAGGGTTTCCAGAGAGGAGGACCTTTTTTGAAGCTTCTTTGTTGCAGGCCGAGCTGAAGCAGCTGCAGGTGGGATTCTTGGCCAGGCAGGCGCAGGCGGAGTGCCTGGCAGGGCGCGTGAAAGCTCATCTTGTGGACACCCAGCCGGAACCTCAGCCTTCCAAAGCTCAGAGCTCAGAGTGCAGGGCAGCAAATTCTCTTTTCTTTCGCCTCCTTGTCTCTAGGCGGAATTCGGCCCGTCGGCTGCTCGGTGCCTGGAGTGCTCTGAGCGCCGAGACGCGATGGAGCCGGGCAGCTCGAATCGAAGCTCGAAAGGCTTTGGCTGTTTCGGCGCTGAATCTCACAGAGCTCAGCGCCTTCAGCACGAATGCGAAGAGCCTCTTCAGCTTGCGAAGCTACCTACAAGCCTGGGCGCCCTACTCAGAATGCAAACAAACTCTGAGCTGCTCTCAGTGGCGCATGGTTTCAATTGCCTTCTTATGTTTCAAACCCAAGGCGGACTATGCAAAGCAGGCGAGGAAGTTGAAGCGGGCAGCCGAGGGCACCGTTAAGGCCTTCTTGGGGAACTCGGTTTCGACCGTTTTTCAGTCTTGGAAGCGGCTGAAACTCAGCGAGTACCAAACAGTGGCGGCAAAGTTGCAGCAGCGCGACCGCGAGTTCTCCGCGCTCCGAGACCTCTCAGAGTCTTTCTTCCAGGTGTCGAAAGATGGTTTCGGGCGCCTGAATCGGCTCGTCTCCGCTTTGCAGGCTGCAGACCGTGCTTTGCAGAAGCTTTTCTGCACAGCAGCCGTCTTAAAGTTTCAGGCAGGCAGTTTGAAGGTGCTGTTTGAGCCGAGGATTGGGGCGGCCAGGGCTGACTCCTTGGAGGTGGAGGTCAAAGAACTGAACCTGGCATTGCATCTTGGCTTTCAGGCCTTTCAGGGGAAATGGCATGGCGAGAGATGGAAAGACAGAAAAGGCGAGAAGAGGCAAGGTGGTGGCAGCGAAGCACGGCGCAGCATCCCGCAGCATCGGTGGATCAACGTCTGAGGCAGAAGCACATCTCTGACTCCGGGAATGTTGGTTTCCAGATAAAGGAGCAGATGCAGAAAACCTGTGATAGACTCAGGCGTGAGACTTCAAGTTGGAGTTAGCCGTCTTACTTTAGTTGAGTTGAGGTCAGGAAGAGCTCCGAGCTTTCAGCGCAAGAGCTGAGATATTGAACACAGAGCTTGAGGCCAGCAGATCTTTGGAGGCCGAGACTGGAAACATGATGAACATTGAGAAAGCACGTTTAGAATGAAAGTTTAAATCTTTTTGGGCAGAGAAAGCTTAGGTCAAACTGCAGCAGGATGGAGCAGCCAGGGCTCTGGAGGCGAAACTTCCAGAGGTCTAAACTTTAAGCAATTTTTGCAGAAAATCTAACGATGACCCATGACGTTCGTTACGTTTACGTTCAATGCGCAGCCTTCGAGCTTTGGGCAGGCGCACAGCGATGCTCTAGCGGAAGCGAGGAAGCTTCGAGAGGCTGCTAAGTGGGCGGAGCAGCAAGAGGCTCAACGCGGAGAATGCGAGAAAGTTCTGTGTCGAAGTTTGCACGTTAGGGGCTCACGTAACCGTTAGCATGATTCAAGCATGATTCCTGATTTAGAAGGCCTGCTCTTGAGCTGTGCAGAAAGGTAATGACCTGCTGTGAGCTTTGGTTGCTGTGGGGCATCTATCACGATAAATAACTTCGAGTGGGCCCAAGACGCTCAGAAACGCATGGGTGACTGCCTTTTGAGGGAAGGATGCGGATTATGGATAACATTTCTGTAAACCCCGGCGGACAGGACAGCCGTGCACCTTTCTGATGTACGGCTAAAGTCACAAAGTCTTGAGACATCTGGAGATGCTGCGATCAAACATGATGCCTGCAGGCCACAAGCCATGTTTTTTGTACTCATCCAAGCGATTGTCGCATCACACCATCCACCGGATACCGGCAGGTACAGCTGCAGCTGCAGCCAAGGCTTCATGGGCTGGCCCATGAAGCAAAGGATGCAAAGGCTGCAGCCAAGGCAGAGCTTCAGGCGGCAGCCAAGGCAACAAAGGCCTTTGGGCTTGAGAGTCTTTTGAGCTTGCCAGTTTTCACTCGAGGTTCCGTCTGAGTAAAGGGAGCCTGATTCACACGAGAGCGCTTGCAGCAGTAAGGTAGTCAGCATCGCGACTTCTAACATCATTTCATCCATTGGTTTCTCCACGTCTACTTGCACCCATCCGTCACTCCATCCATTCGCGTTTAGAATACAGTAATTATTGAGAGCTAACCTCACGAAGACCGTGCCAAGGCCTGTCATCATGTCATCTCAGACCCTCCCACGTCTCACGAGAACCGTACAACAACCTCATCACATCATCGCGCTCACATTCTGTCATATTATCAAACATCAAATCATTGTAAACATTTACACCCACCATGGAAACAAACAAAAACCAGCGCACCGCTTTTGGGAACCGTAAGGGTCGGGAGGCGGGGTTCTGAGGACGCTCCTCCGGATGCGCTGCGAAATCTGAAAGGGCTGTCAATTCCGACCCAAGTTCTGAGGAAGCTCCACGCGAACAATGACAGGTGTGAATTCCGGGGAATATTTTGATGACGCTCCATGCGGGAACGGGAGCGTCCGGACACGCCTTCTCGGTGTTCGCGGGCTGTCGTGACACTGGCGTGTGGAGCATCCTCCAAAATCTGGTCGTAATGAAAAACCTTCTGTAGCAAAGTTTGTGTGCGAGCTTGGCTGGATCGAGGAGCGGACACGTCTCGCGGCACTCCCTGCGAGCCGCTGAAGTCGGCGTTTAGGTGGGCCGAGGAGGCTCAAGGGGACGAGGAGTTGCTTTCCATGCTGAGGGCTTCTGCGGCGGATCGCTCACGCTCCTGGTCGGGGGGGTTCCTCCGAGAAGCGGCCCTGTTCTTGTTCGTCAGTTCCGAAAGCATGTGCGATGCAGCCTTTGAATGTTTGCGGCTGGGCTGAGGGCGCGGATTGCTATTCTTTTTCCGACTTCTGGTTGTTTGGGGCAGACGATCCAGGTCGCAGTGTTGCGGTGGCTTGGGCGGCTCTGAGCGGCGACTTGGAGAGGCTGAAGGACATCTTCGAATCAGACGGCCGCTCCATTTTTGTTCAGCGTCCCGGTGTGGAAGAGGGTAATGTGCCAGATGTTCTCGAATACTGGACTCTTTGCGAGTACGTGGAGTTGGCGTTCTTGCGTGCCGCGAGAGGGTCAAGCAGACGTCACAATTTGCACACCGTGTTGTTGTGGATGGAGGGACACGAATCGACAAAGGCTTTTGATTCTGCGCTCGGCCCTATGAATGAATACTTGGATGTGCTGCGGACTCTGACACTGAAAGGCAAGGCTTTTCATGTGTTCAGCTTTGAGAAGTGGATTAATCAGTTGCGGTTGATCAAGGGCTGCTACAGCGGGCAGGAGAACGTGCTGTCGGAACTTTTGAAGGTCGGAGCTCCAGCTGAGATTAGTCCGTTGTTTTGCATTCAAGACGGTCGGCGTTCCTCATCACCTGCGGGTGTCTTCCTGGCCTCTGCGCGCTCTACTGGAGGCTCGTGCTTTAGGGGTGGCTGCGGTCCGAGGGAGGCTATTTTGAGATGGCGGGCATTGCTCAGAGAGAGTGGGAATGTCATTGTGTGTTGTCGGTGCATCATTCTGTCATTCTTTTTCGTCCACTGCAAGTGCGATCCCTGGAATGCTTTCTCTGCGAAGAGTCCTGACGGCCGTTCAATTTGGCGACGCGCGACCCGGGATGGGGAGCTGCGGCAGACTGGCAGCAAATGTCATGGGGGCTTATCTGGGGTGTTCTTCTGGCGATGCAGACTAATGATCGGGAGCTTGTCCCGCCGAGTGCTGGCCGGTTTGGGTTCGCCTGTCCGTTCTCGGAAGAAAAAAACAGCTGCTGCTCTGTGCTCATAAGACGCGCGCTGACACCCAAAAGGCGCAGATTCAGACTCCTGCTCTTGAGACGGTCCTTCGCTGTGCTTGCTTGGATGTGCATTTGCAATTGACAGTTTATTGCTTTGCTTGATCTTCGTGCTCGAGTGGATGCCAGTCTCTTCGTGTCGTTCCTAGCCTGTGGACCTGCAATGGGCTTGATTGAAATCCAATTCATCGAGACCACGAAGTGGTTCCCGAACAAGAAGGATAACTCAGCAGTGCAGAAACGGCACAGTAAGGAGTACAAAGTGAGACTTACCTGCTCTAACGGCGGCTTCCCGGCATCTGCGCCTATTGTGAGACGGAAAAAAGTCTGGTGCAGGGTGTGAGCTTGGCATGCTGTCCGAGATTCAGTCCTGATTAGTGCTTGTGAGTATATGTATATAGACATATACACATACGTATACATACATATATACATACATACATATACATGCTAGCCCCCTCCCAAAGACCAACCTTTTGGTTAGAAAATCCAAAAAATCAAAAAATCAAAAAATCCCATAACAATTCGAAAAATTCCGAAAATTCCGAAAATTCCAAAAACTCCAAAAATAAAATCACAAAAAAATCCACTAGTGGTTTTGGAATTTTTGGAAATTAGAATTCCAAAGGTCCAAGACCATGGGTTTGGCCGTTTTGGAATTTTTGGAAACTAGAATTCCACAAGTTCAAGACCATGGGTCTGGAATTGTTGGAGTTTGGGAATTTTGGAAATTTGGAATTTGGCATTGCTGTTTATGTCTCTTATTTATTGAGAGGGTCTCACAACTTCATATTATACTTCACCATATCCTGCATTCCTCCAAGCAACTTTCTTATTCATACACTTAGCCTTACCCGTAAAATAAATAGCCCTTATGACAGCTTTGCTGCAGGTTGCAGCCACAGAAAAGCATTTCTGAAAGGTTTCCATGTTTGTGTAGTACATCTACTATTCTCAGTATCAGTATAGTAATATACCTAAGTATATTACGATGCTGATACTGATTTAGGTAAATTTCCCAGTTATCTATTCAAAAAAGTACAGGAAAACAAACAGTAATCTATAATTACCACGGTTATGTGTTAGATACTTGACAGTGAGCAACAACCGGCATACTGGAAAAAAAATGGACTGTAAAAATTCAATAGATACACAGTTGGCTTGAGAGAAGTGGAAGCTTCTGTTCCTTGCAGGTGTTTCTTTTCGATCCGGTGGAACATCAATAGAATCAGTTGAACTATGTGAAGAAGATGTGGAGCCCATGACTGGAGGATTCTTTTCATATCTCCCAACCCATTTTGGTCAAAGGTTCATATGAGAAACTAAGGGTGCTACATGGA